CTCCCTCCCTCCCTCCCTTCTTCATCCCAATTCACTCGACATTGAACCTGCAGGCTGGGTGCTCAGCCTCCTTTTGATCGCAAGTCTGGCTAACGCGTGATCACCTCCCAACTTCAGCTGTGCCAACTCCAGTCAGCTTCGTTTCGATCTGAACGACTCTGGATGCCGAGTCGAAATCGAAAACCTCCTTTGAATCTACGTACAATTGTACATAGAACTCGCGAAAACAGAAATGCGTGCAACCTGTAGATTGAAAGTAGGCTACGTAAACGGCTTGTGCCGTCGTTAGGATGCCCGCTAAGTGGCAGAACGTGAAACAATCAACTGGCAACTCTCGTGTATCTCTCAAATGTATTAAATGAAGTCCGAACTGTGCAAAGTATTGCTGCATGACAACGTTCGTACGGAGCGTAACGGCCATGGTCTGGCGTCTGGCTTCCCCGCTATTCTTTAATGCTAGCGCCCGAATCCATCTAGTCTGGCAAACTAGACGGGGCCCCTAGTCTCTTAGGCCCTTCACGTCCTCCTTTAAGGAGAAACATTTACTTTATGCCGCTCCGTATAGACACATCGGAGAGTCTCACACGTGTGCCCCGAACGCGACGGAGCACAGCGCTTCGATCCACAAGACGTCACTAGGTTCTATCGACTCTCAGAGAGGCTGCGAGATTCGAAGAGGAGGCTCCGATAATTTGGACTCGGGTATAATGTCTCTCTTAAATTTCACGAACTGTCGCTCTGTAACAGTTGAATTATTCGTAAATTATCTAGTAAATGACGTTAGCCTTTTAACAATTTATCTTTGGTTCCTTGCATCTCAGTTAATCCACTAACTCACTAACAATCTATCCCCTTTTCTGTTTTTCAGGCTCGTTCCTGCTAACAACAGAGTAAGAACCGACTAACATGTCCCCGTATCCTAACCAAGATCGAGCAGTACTTGAGCGCGTCAGCGACGAGAGCAGCAACATCGCTGATTCTGATTGGGTCTCGCGGCCGTAAGTCAGCTAGGCAGAAGAAAGTTAATGGAAGTTAAGCAAGGTCTCCTCGAATGCTCAAAAGAAAAGGGCGTGTGGTGTGGTGTCGGAATGCCAGCGGTGAAAAATGAAAAAGATAAGCAATGGCCTGAAGCTTGACCTTACGGAGAATACACCCGGTAGCTCCAGTGCTGCGCGGTTGCCGAATCTCGTGGAGCATGCCGAGAACTGGCAGGGTTCCGGGACGGGTGAAAATTTGAGCAGCAAACTGCCAAACGTCGTGGAGGGCTCGATGGACTATGGTAGCAAGCGCAGGTGCTCCAGATACTTGGATCACGATCCGGGAGCGAGTTACAGGGAAGAGGAGCAAGAACGGCAGCAGCAGCCTGGATATTCATGTAGGAGCTTCGAGAGGAAAGGAACGTTCGAGTGCGAGAGTCTGGAAAGGTTCGACAATAGGATTTATCCGAAGGATACTTTGAGGTACGAGAGGAGATCCGATAGGCCCTATCAGGAGTCTGATCCGGATGCACCTTACGAACATCCCGAGAGCGCCAGACGATACTCGAGGGACCTGACCGATTACGAGTACGCGTCCAGGTATGCCGAGGGGACGCACAAACTTGAGAAAAAGGAACACACCGGCAAGATCTACGAGTCAGTGTCTAAGGGCTACGAGTCTGGAGTGAAGACTCATGACGCAACGTACGAGCTCAGCTCCGGTTCCACTCAGGATTTGAATACTCGGAAGTATCATTCGAGCAAGATGTATGGTACCTTGCCCAGGTACGAGTCCTCGGGGAAGTACAACAGCAGTGAACAGGGTTACGAGAGTAAAGGCTACAAGTACGACGCAAAGAGATCATTCGAGTCCGAATACGAGGAGCAGCAGCAGCAGCAGCAGCAGCAGCAGCCTTTCGAGTCCAGCTCGAAGGCAGCCAAGTCCATGGATTCCCCCTCGAAATACGATTTGGCTAAAGGCTATGGGAAATACGATACCTCGACAAGGTACGACTCCTCCAGGAACTACGAGCAGACCCTCAAAATTGGAGAGGCCACGTCATCGTACGCGCGAGGACAGCATCAGGAGCAGGAGGAGGACACGTCGGAGAAGATGAACGGCTACAGGAAGAACAACTTCGAAGCTTACGGAGTTTATTCGGACCCTGAAGACGACCATGGATTCTTGGCGAACAAAAAAGTGCCGCAGTACACGTACAAGGGTGTCGTAGTGAACGTAAGTGGTGAGTCTAGCGTGGTCGAGCAGAAGAGGACGAAGAATCAGCAGACCGAAGTGCCACAGAGTGCCTGGTGTAGGCCGACGATACTTCTGCTCCTCCTGGTCCTCCTCGTCGTCGTCTTCGTATTCGTCGCTGGGATCCTACTATACTTTAATTGTAAGTCTCTTCATTCCGATTTTCGCCAGATTTCAGAATCGATTTCCGCCTCACCTGCCACAACGTGACCTCCCATCCGACTCCAGGAATGACAATACAAGTATTTAGGCTCGCGACTGACTCTAGGGCACGCAGCGCCGTGCACCTGGGATGACGATACAATGAGAAACAGCGGAAACGACGGAGACACGTGCGAGCGATACGTTAGCCAGGACATAACTGTCTCTCGTGCAGTTTTATGTGTTCAATTTGACAGGCCAGTCACGTAGGGACTTGCCACTGGCGAAACTCTTCGGCCTGAATTACAATGCATTCCCGAAAGCAGAAACCAGAAGTCCGGGAAATTGGCGAACGGATCTATTTCCTTCATTTCTTTCAAGAACTTTCGAGAGCCATGATAAAGCGATAGTCTCCTTACTTTTTCTCCCAATTACTACAAATTCGCGATACGCGCGAGCTTTTTACGTTTAATTTTGATTTGCTAACTCCAATGAATTCGAGTTACTTGAGATCAAGCAAGATTTAGCGGATTAGCGAGAGAGAACGAAGGAATTGATTATCGGCAGGTGCCGATGCAGAGTATCGGATGATCAGGAGGAAGTCCAGGCAATGTACTCTAGCATGCCGTTTGGACATTCAGGAGTAGAAGCAGGAGTCGATGACGTTCCGGAAATCCGTCTTTCATTGAATCGTAATCCGATTCCGTTAACGATTTCGTAATAGTAAGGAATTTCCGTTCACGTATCGAAAAAGTCCACTTAATCTGACGTAATCGTAAAGAACACTCGGTAGAGAAGTATAAATGTGCGGCAGGTATGCCACGCGCGCGCGCACCTTCACCCACGAGGAAACCCTCGATCTTTGCTCTATCGTAAGCGAAGCTGCCGCTTGCGGATTTAGAGCTGTCTTCTTGCATGTCAGTCTTTCCTCTTTCTCGAGAATACATTGCGGCCATGATTTTCCTTGAGCTTCGCTCCGGTTCGTAAACTGCACGACTCGCACTCAAAAGTTTAATTCTCTCCACCGACAATCACGTAATTCTGTCGACATCAAGGGTACGTCTAAACCGTTCGCTGGACATTTCAAAAGAAGAAAGAAAAAAAGCAATATCATCGTCACATTTGACTGGGCACGTTTCAAGATGTTTAAGTAAACTTGATGGTGATTACCGCGTTTGCAGTAGTGGGCAGGATTTTGAGCAGCTTCTTCCTCGTCAATTTCAATTGCAAAGGAATCTCGCCTTCCAATGGACGGAGGATAAAGCTTTCGACGGGTATGCAGATTCAAAAGAAATTACGAGAATCAAAGATAAACTGAAAATGATTACACGGTAACGTGCGGTGCGGAATTTTTAAATTGCAAATTACTCGCCGGACGCAGAATGCGTCGTTTCTATCTTCATTCTCCTCTCTCGACAATAGAAACGTGTGTCCCTTTTTTTCTGGCTCTTTTACCGCGGGTGCGTATTGCCTCCGTGCTCTGCCTTCCTCCGACTCGTCCTCGCGCATCCCAGCATCGTCTGGAATCGGCTGCACGGGTCCATCGATGCTTTGACAATAACGCTGCGAGAGGCTCGTCGAGTATTCCGAGTGGATGCATTTGGCAGGGATGGACACCATTTGAGCGCTCCGGTTTATTTTCGAGTCAAGTTTTCGCCTGACCGCTTGCAATCAGTCGCTGCATTGTTTCCTGAACAATACCTTCACTGCGACGCAGAGGGTGCCGTCATGGTTTTCCATGACGGTTCCCCTCGGACAGTCCAGCCTCCTGCTCGGAGAAGTTATCGTAGCAGAAATTTCCCGAGAGATTTTCCGTAATCTGATTTGTGAAATAGACCACGCGCCGTTCCGTCCTTTCTAACTGAAGGATAAATTCCGAAATTTCCCGGCAATCGGTAAACTGCGAGCAGCTCCCCTCGACTTTTCGAACTTTTCCTCGCCCAATCCACGTGCGACACTCAAACTAAATACTTTTTTTCTTCTTTTTCCTTTCACTCTCTTGCTATCTTTCCCCTCGTCCTTCGAGTTGCGAAACCGCCTGCGTGATCGCGCGTGCGCGCACTCGGCAACACGCGGCATCGTTTGCCGTCCAATGCTGGATCCCAGGGTTCGTTCACCTTTTCACCTTCCACCGTTTCTGCCTTAGTATCACTCTCGCTACCATTCGCCATTTCGACCTTCACCTTTTCCACCTTTTCCACCTTTTCCACCTTTTCCACCTTTTCCACCTTCGCCGACAAAGCACTCCTTCCAAAAGCTTAGGGAAACCTTTCCCAACATTGATTCTCCCACGAGGACCCATTTGTCATTCGGCACGATAAGGTCGAAATGTCGGATGTCTCGTTTAAGATTGGCTATTCCGTATTCGCGACCCCCTCGTACCTTCGCTGAACCGATTCACAGCCGCCATCCTTTGCACCCTCCTGATACTTTGTATCTTCCGGAGTAACCTCTTACCCTCATTCCGTCGCTTCTTGGCAGGTATCTATTAAGCCGGAGGATTTTACCAGCATTGCTTGGTAACCTTTGATTCGTATCGTCTCGCCGATCTTGCCGGCCGATCGCATCCGATTTCCCACCGGTCTCGTAATTCTCTCTCCAGTCACGCTTTCAGCTACAACTTGCGATCAACGACTTTTTTCATTCTCTTATGCTTCTCTTGTGTTCCTCCCTTCTGTCAAGGTGTTTGAACGGTTTCCAGCCAGGACTATTGACCGCAATCGTTTGTCCTTGACTTTGAATTAGACTCTTTTGCGCGTCCTTCGGGAGTCCAGAAGGAATGGAGGGAAACGTGAAACGAAAGGAGGAACATTAGCGTAGTTGGTATAGAATACTCTTATTAAAGGACAGATGAATGGAAAAGATGAATGGACGAACGTAGTAGAGGAAAAGTTTGTACGGAGGCGTAAGAATGAAGATTTTGAAGATGTCAAATAAACGTAAAGAACGTTTACGCATCTTAGGTTTGGCGAGATAGGCTGAGTATCGTGATTAGTGATCACCTACGCATCGCCATCGAATGTCTCTTTGCCATCTCTTTGCCAGGCATGAAAAAAGCGAGATCGCAACTGAACCTCCAAGGATTGTAATAGGAAAACTATTTAAGGCAAATACGAGAGATAAGAACGGACGAATTCCTGCAGTAAATGATCCTCGAGCCTCTGGCTGCTTCTCGTGTTTCTTACCGAGCGACGATGTAGCGGTCTTCGAATGCTTTTTCTACCGGAAAGTTTTCAAGTTTTCGGTTCAGACTCCGCTGCACCCTCGACCAACGAGTCTCGTCTTCCCTCTACTTCGCTTCGTTCTTCGCCCACCCCACC